CCCCATGGGCCCATACATCTGGCATTTTAAAAGTGGTTCTTGGAATTGACATCAGATCCTTGCGATTTTAAGTTGTTAGCTTTCTTAAGGTTCTGGGGATAGGACCTGGCTCTTGTATATGATGGGTGTGATGGCTAATCTTGATCGTCAACTTGACACATCTGGGAAGGAGGAGCCTCAATGGGAAAACTGCCTTCCTCAAATTGATCGGTGGACATGGCCTGTGAGGGCATTTTCTTGATTGATAGTTGATAGGGAAAGTCCCAGCCCATTGTGAGAAATGGCCAACCCTGGGCAGGTGTGAATGGTAGCTGAACCATTCAGTACTGGCAGCAAACCATTCAGCAGTGTTCCTCCGTGGTTCCTGCTTCATGTTCCTGCTTTGAGTTCCTCCCCTGGCTTTCCTCAGTGATAGATTGTGATGTGGAAATGTAAGCAGAAATAAACCCAGTTTTCTCCAAGTTGCTTTGGCCATGGTATTTATCAGCCACAGAGAGGGCATAGGCAGCATGGTACCACGAGTCCTTGTTGATGATCTGTAAGACATCAAACTTGCTACCAACCATCCTAGTCTACTACTCTCCTATTTGTTTTCCATCCTTTCTCTTCTATCATCAATAAAAGAATCATCGACTTGTCATTCCATTTCTCTACACCGAGATGCTACTTTATCAGTTTAGTAATTGGACAGTGGTTTGAACCAGAGACTGTCTACACCACCTCTCCAAATGCTGTCTTTCCACCATTCTTGAACTCCTCATACCAGTTTGAGGCTGATGTGGAGTTAGGACAAAAATGTGTGGTGATGTCACACCTCTGAAAGGACAAGGGGTAACAAGATTTAGAAGAGAGCTCTCTGACTGCTATGCAGGTCTAACGGTTTCTACACCAGCCCGCTAGGGAGCTCCAGAGCAAAGACTGCTTATCAGAGGAGTCCTAAGTTGGGCAGCAGTGGATGGGTTTTGCAAGAAAAGTATGTTGTTAGCTACCCCACCTTACCCAGTGATGGGCTACATACTCCCCCAAAAGATGTGTACTCATCTTGAAATCAGAAGTGGTTCCTAGAGGGGATAAAAGCTGGAGATTGCCTAGCAATCACACCCTCCACACTTGGGTAACTCCACTTTCATGAAGATCAGTCTGGTCCATCTGAAGATGAGTCTCTACCACAATTCTAAATCTCAGACAAGAACTGGCCACCGTAACAAGCAGCAGGTGCTAACCTCATATCAGAAAGTCCACTTCTAAACCAGGCCACTCATCAGCATCCTAGTTCTGGTAACTGCACCTCATTAGCTATAACTTAATCCCTAAATGCTTTAGAAAGTCCTTTAATCCCTGGACTCTGGGTTTCCTAAAACCCTATATAAGGTCAGCAGCTTTTTTTATTCAAAGAGCCAGTGTCCTAGAAGCCCAGCTGTCAGCACTCAGCAAGCAGTGTGTACAGCATTTTAGTGTGAGGACTGAACACAGTCTTCTCCTTTGCCACTGTCGCATCTACCCAAGATAGACGGCTTTCGGCATTCATCATTCTCACCCCCAGGATTTCTTCTGAAAGACCTCCCCTGACCATGTTGTGTGACAGCCATATGATCTTCCATGCCGCTGTCTCACAGTGTCATTGCAATTCTTGCGTGTGTGTTCACATGTGTTCAGGCACTTATGTGTGTGGGAGCATGCATGAATGTGTGTATATTTGGGGGCCAGAGAACAACCTCAGCAGTCTTTTTGTCAGGAAATGTTCACTCTATTTTTTGTTTGGTTTTTGTTTTTGAGACTAGGTCTATCACTGGCTTAGAATTCACCAGATAGGCTAGAGGCTGGCCAGAGAGCACTAGGGATCTGCCTGTCTCCAATTCTGTAGTACTGTGCAGCTTTTTTTTGTTTTGTTTTCATTTTAAAGTGGGCTTTGGGTATTGTACGCAGGTCCTCGTGTTTGTACAGCAGACATTTTAACTGATGGAACTATCTCTCCAGAAATCCTCATGTCACCTGTTGATAGCACCTGCCATAATTCCAGGTCATATTATTTCAATTGAACCTTCTCACTGTCTAAAATGCAAAGTCCATTCAGACACGGCCCCTGTGTCATGAACACTCAACTGGACTCAGTAGATAAATGAACCGTGTAGCTGAACCAAGTCACTGATGAGGGAAGCATAGTGCCAGAAAAATAGTAGGGACTCCATAATGACTTAAATAGTGATAATAATGCCATGTCTTGGAACTGTGTGTGTGTGTTTGTGTATGTTTGTGTGTGTGTGTGTGTGTGTGTGAGAGAGAGAGAGAGAGAGAGAGAGAGAGAATCTGAAATTTTGAAGAAGCTAGGTGATGACTGTGAAGGGATGAGTGAATGCTGTGAATTGCTCTTTATGGTCTTCTTTCTAAACCTATCTCCTAAACTCCCTGTGAACACACAGATGATTCTGTGAGAAGCATGGGATACACGGGACTGGCCACCTTAATTCCTTTTATGGTTCCTGAGATATGGTCTTATAATCCAAAGTTCCAAGGAAGCTTTTGATCAACTCTTTCTAGCACAACTGGATAAAGAGGCAAGGGACAGTGATGGGCCATGAGCAAGCAAGCCGGGAACTGTTCTATAAGAGAGTCAAGGAAAAACTCAGATTTCCAAAACTGGAAGAGGCATGAGCAAGCAAGCAAGCAAGCCAGGAACTGTTCTTTATAAGAGTCAAGAGGGAAAAAAAAGAAGAAAAAGGAGGAGGAGGAGGAGGAGGAGGAGGAGAAGAAGAAGAAGAAGAAGAAGAAGAAGAAGAAGAAGAAGAAGAAGAAGAAGAAGAAGAAGAAGAAGAA